TGAGCTTCCTCTCATCCTCAATGTCCTAAAAATTGTGATTTTAAATTGTATGTAGAACCAATACACGTAGGCAAGATTTCAGTCTGCAGAAAGTTCTCTTGATCATAAGGACAACTAGAAGAACAGGAAGAGTGAAACTAGCATGTTCACCATACAACCCCTCCTGCCTTCAAGCAGAACGTCCAAATCTAATTAGAAAGGGAACAGTTTATGCACACCTGCACATGGATAAAACTTCTCAACTTACTTCAGTTCTTTCATTGCAATCAGCAAGGGATCTCTTTCTCCTTCAAGCTCTACCATTACTGGGGCACACATCCTGAGGGGGGAAAGATTTAAGAACCTTTACTGCAACTGGAGTAAACAGTGGGTATTAAAAGTTATCAAGTTAGATGAGAATAAGATATACCATTTGGTTTCCTGTCAAACTTGTAATTTGCCTGGAATTTTTGCTCTTGAGAACCTATGCTATAATCTCTGCTTTCTAACATTTTAAAGATTTTCATTTTAGAGCTGGGTGCGTGTGTACCTTTGAGTCAATCTTGATTTCTTGCAACTGCCTGGAAAATCCCTGAAGTTTTCTTGGCAAGGGTTTTGAGAAGTAGTTTGCCACTGCCTGCTTCCAAGGGCTGAGAGAAAATGGGCAAATTTCTAGCCTGGTACCTTAACCTTAAACTGGCTCTTGTTATTTGTTGTATATCAGGGGTCCCCAACCGCCGGTCCGCGGACCGGTACCGGTCCGCGGAACAACCCTTACCGGGCCGCTGGTTGCTGGGCGCCGCCATCTTTTTTTTGGTAAAAAAGCGCTTCCGGGTAGAAAGTTCACCGGAAGCGCCTTTTCGTCATAAAAAGATGGCGGCGCCCAGTTGACGCCGGTACCGGGCCGCGGCGCCCAGCTGATGTCGGAACCGGGCCGCGGCGTCGAAAAGGTTGGGGATCCCTGTTGTATATAACTCAATAATAATATGTCCAAATGAATTATACTTTTAAATTGCATACAGAAATGGGGTGATATGGAGTTGCTATTTTGGGCATAAAACAAAATACAAAAATAAAAGTAGGAGAGACTAAATTCTCACACATGGACATTATTGTTATTCACCTCTAGCAAACCAATCTTCATTGATTTATCAAAGTAACTGTCTACTATGTGAGTTCTACTGAAATAAAGAATAACCAGCCACTAGTCCTCAGTTACTAAAATTGGGACCAGCTACTCCATCATTAAGTGACATAGTTGTAAAGTGAAACTTCATGTGACCATACAGAGCTACATCAGTTCTGGATATGGTCATTGAACAAATCATCAATGGCCATTAGGTGAAATGTTACATGACTGCAACTTGCAACTTACTGCCAGCTTCTTTGATTTTATTCGAATGTAGCAAATGGCAATCATGTGGCCAGAAGAGGAAGACCATCATCAAAGCAAACTGCTTGCCAAGCACCCAAACTGCAATCATATGAATGCAAGGGCGCTGTGATGTAAGTTTGAGAACTGGTCATAAATCTACTTTTCAGTGCCATCATAATTTTGAATGGTTACTGATTGTGCAATTGATAAACAAGGGCAACCTGTAAAGTTTTGGCTTAGTTAAACCTCTGGTAAGATGCTTCAAATAAGCTCAAGAACACTACATTCCTTCCTGGAACAATATTGGGAACATATTGGATAATGAAACATCTGTCGTTAGTGGCTAATTCTTCTAAATATTTAGTTTTCCACAAAGAAAAGGAAAATTTTCCTGTCTAGCACCTTCAGAATGGGGAAAAGATTTAATCTGAAAGACATTATGTAACCCCCCAAAATGCAATCTTATTTATGGACCTCTGTTTTTAATTGCTCATCTTAAAGTTGTCCCTTTTCTATCACTCTTACTGCCCAATTCTTGAATGAGGGATAAAATATTCTGCTAGCAGCCTTCTCTTTCCATTATTCATATATTTCTCTATATGAACTCTGAAAGCCACGTACATAATATTTAAAATAAATGTCCTACTTTTTAGCGGCATCTCACTAATAATTTAAATACATGCGCTGCCAAAGAGCTATAACTATGGCAAAATAGAATTATGCATTGGAGACAAACAGCTGGAACCTGGAGAAGCCTTCAATCATTGGTAGAAAAAGACAAATAACTAAATAAATGTATATATTTACGCTATCTGTAGGGCACGGGTACCAAGAACTCTGGCCCGCTCATATTTGGTCATGTAAGGAGTAGTGATCCGCTTCTGATTTGCTTGTTGACGCTCTCCAGATGGCAAGATTTCCACATTTTCCTGACCCTCCTATGGAATAATACAAACCAAATGTAAACATACATAGCTGCATGCCCTGTCATCTGAGTAATCATGCAATTAAAACCGAGAATATGAATGGAAAATATTAAATAAGGTTCTACAAGAATGCTAATTAGGTAAAGATACCTAATACATGATGGTAAGATGTAAAACAGATATTAACCTATGAATTCATATATATTTTAACCCATTTTCTAAACTTCACATTTTATACCACTTAAGCATTGGGACTTTACAGATCGAGGTTACTAGTCCTTATTCTTTGTCCTTAGCTACTAGTCAAAGAAACAAAATATATGCCTTGGGTAAAACAATGAAAAACAGACTTTGAGGGAGATAAGAGAGCACTACGCAAAAACTTTCAGGATTCTATTATTCTGCCTTACTATGATAAAGAGTATTCCTGGAATCCAGTTTCTTGACCTGACCTACTTCAAAGGACTGACATATTTTTTGAAAATTTGTCCAAGTTTCTCCCTATCCCATCTTATACTAAAAAAAAAAAAATCACGGGGAGGTTATTTTGAATTTGTTTCTTATGCTTCCCGCTAAGGACTGTGTAACTTTTTCGCAAAGTCCCTCCTTAATAGTTTGATCCTTCTTTCTCCTCTTAAGTGGCCCTTTCAAGTTCCCCAAAATCAACCCTATATTCCTTTATACCCTAATAATATACTTAAATACAGCCTTCCAAAAGTATTCATTTTTCCAGCTAAGAATGACAGAAGTTGAAGTCTAATACATCTAGTAGCTATTTCACTCACAAAATATATATCTTCCTTTTTCAAACCACTCACCAGATTGAAGGCTGTTTTAGCATATCACAAGCTAAAGTCACTTACCTCCTCAACATTTTCTAGATCATCAAGTCCTTCATCTTCTTCCACATCATCAAAATCATCTCCATCAAAACTAATAGAAGAAATTTATTAATATTTTATGGGCAATTCTCTAGCAAAACCCTGAAATACTTACTACCAGCTAAATGTCATAACTGATGTCAACACCTAAATTATCTATCTTGACAAAAACAATGTAGGACTGAACTGGATTCATATGTGGAAAGAAGATCACTAGGAAATCCCAAGTGTGAATGGATCAGGCTGTGAATGGATCACAGAAAAGTCAGAAAGGGAACATGTTTGTCTTTAGGTTGGAGAAAATTCACTTGCTCTTCTTCCAAATTCTGTGGTACAAGCCAGAAAAAGAAATATTCTTGATCTTTTAAAAGTCACTAAATCAACAGGCATGAATTTGGAAACTAGAGCAATTCTGTTCTGAGTAATTCTGCTCCCCAAATGTACTCTGTGATGGTGATAAGCAACAGCTAGCTATTAAGCTTTCCAAATTTGCAATTTAGAGATTACTACAATCTACTGATTCCTTCTTAAGTTCTAAGAAATTTTAGGTCAAATCATACATGAGTCAGGGAATCCATTGGCATGACTGTTGCTACTGTACATGATGTAGAAAATGCATTCTATTCTCAAATTCTGTCCATCAGGTCAGGATAAACTGAGCAAAAGTATAAATTTAATTAAAATACACATATTAATATTTTTTTAAAAAAGTCTGCTTTGGCTTGTTGTATCGCAATTCCTCTTTGACAGGTGATTAACACTAAAGAAAAACAAACAAAATTATAAGACAAAGGATTCTTGATTTTAAGTGTATTTCAACTGCCACATACTAAAAATGTAGGTCATTTAGCTTCTCAGAATAAACCATGCTAGACTAGACAGAGCTTTAGTCGGATCCAAATGTATATATGGGTGGGAGACACTGTAATTACTCTCCAGTTTCAGTGGTGAGCAGAGAAAGATGCCAGGCCAGTTAGAAATATTTTTTGGAAAAGTCAGTGTGGTACAATTATTTGAGTAAACCCAGGACGTGGATTCAAATTTCTCTTTGGCTATGAGACCCACCTCATTATTATGTAGCTACTCCTCAGTCTCTGCTTGGGTAACTATCACTTTAGGACTGGTTCAACAGTGAAAGTGGGATACACCTTTTAATAACAGTGCTATTGTTATTAACAGTGTTAATATTAAATCATAGCAATACGTTGGGGGGAGGGAAACAATAGCTGAAAATTCACATTCTTCTTTAAGTACAGGTGGAGCTCTCGCCTCACAATCATGAGCCTGTAAGATCGATCCCAGGTAGAGGCTAATATTTGGATTATTAGCCTCTACCCAGGAGGCTAATATTCCAAATATTAGCAGAGGTTGGACTAGATGACCTCCAAGATCCCTTCCAACTCCTGAAGTCAGGAATTGAATGAAGTTGAATCCAGGCCAGCGTCTCACTGCTCGGTTTAAAGCAGTTCCAGGAGGCTGTTTTCCCAACTGCAGGCGGACTGGCTAAGCAAGCCTTCCTCCCAGCCTGGACCGGCTCTGAAAATGAGAAGTAGCCCCAACACCCGGGAGACGCCAAATTGGGGCAAGAGGCTAGAAGATTCATTTCTTATTCACGCGCTTATTTACTTATCCTCGTTGTCCGACATGTGGAGGCCTTCCCTCGTTCAGCACAGACCTTCACGGTGTCAATTCCCACCACAAACCGAGCGTCCTGACGGGAGAAGCGGACAGCCCCGAGATGATCTCCCCCGGCAAGGAAGCAAAAGGAAAAACGCAAACAAACTCACGCGCTTCCCGTCGAAGAGCACGACGAGCGCGAACACTTCCGGGGTCAGAGTTGACGTTGGCGTAAGCGAGCGCCGGAGGCGGTTGTCATGGTGACGGGAGCCGCCAATTCGGGTAAGAGAAGGGAGGGGAAAAAAAAAACCAAGACTTTTCCTTTTGCAAACCTCTCTCGCTGCTCATCCCGTAACCCCCCAGAAAAGGGAGCCGTGATCGGACAGAAAATCGGGTAGATGGGGGCCTCCAAGCCGAGAAAGGCACGATTTCACGCATCCGTTTTAGATGCTGAGTTTGCATCTCCGCTACCTTAAATTGCACCGTGATGTCGAAGTTAGGATTAGGCTGCGATTAGACGCCGGCTGCAATTTATTTTATTATTTTATTTTATTTTATTTTATTTTATTTTATTTTATTTTATTTTATTATTTTATTTATTTATTTTATTTTGTCAAGCGGTTATAAGATAACAGGTATAAGAGTAAACATAGTTATGAATACATGACATTGTTATGATCATGATGTATGCAGCACAAATGTCTCCAGTTCCTGCCTTAAAAAAATCCAGTTTGGGTTTTCTACATGTAGCCCATACATATTTCTACATGTAGCCCATATATGAGTATACAATTGGTCTACAGGTAATCTGCAACTTAGGACCACAAAAAGAGCCCAACATTTCTGTTGCTAAGCGAGATGGCTGTTAAGTGAGTTTTGCCCCATTTTACAAACTTTTTTCACTACGGTAAGTGAATCGCTGCAGTTAGTAACCTGGTTGCTAAGTGATTCTGGCTTCCCCATTGACTTTGCTTATCAGGTCGCAAAAGGTGATAACCTGACCCTGGGACACCTCAACCGTCCTAAATATGAGTTAGGGTACTTGCTAAGCATCCACATTTTGATCATGTGACAATGGGGATGCCGCAACAGTAATAAATGTGGGAAATGGTCCTAAATTCAGTGCCATTGTATTGACATGTATAGCATAGAAATTTAATAAATAAAATAAAATATGGCAAATGAACATTGGTGAAAGAATTATGAGAAAAAATACAGAATATGTGTGAGTTGTGATCTTAATAACTGTAGAACTCTTTATCAGTTTCTTTCAGAGTACTATATTACAATGGCTTCTCAAGAGAGGATCAGGCCTGTGATAAAAGGAAGTGGATTTTGGCATGTTCCCACTGTGAAGGAATATAGCCAGGAAACACAAGAGTTATTAAAAGGTAATTAGCAAGCAGAATAGAAAAGTATCCCAGGAAGTAATGCTCCCCACTCCTGCTTATTATCTTGTTGCATTTTAAATTACTACTACTTAAATTACTTTTTGTGCAAATTGAGGATGTAAGTTAAGAATCCCTAGTCTTTGATAATTTCAGTGACTAGTTAGTAACTATAGGAAAATGTCTGTGTTGAATTTCTTCCTTAATATGAGGTATAAATTCTTGAATACCTTTCTCAGCAGTAGCTAATTACAAGATCTGGTCATGCCAATAAAGTTATAAGCTGAAAACTGGTTACAGAAAAAAATAGAGCTTGTTGAATACTACTTGCTTAAAACCAAAAATACAGGAAAAAAATTCACTTTGGATTTCTGTATTCCAGAATAACCACAATAATAAAAATAATTTTGGGGAGAAAACCCAATGTTGCAATTAGTTAGATATTCTGAAAAAGGGTTTTGAATATAAATTATAACATTCTACAACTGGATACCCTTCAATTATATTATATCAAAAAAAGCAGGAAGATATCTCATTGGAAAAGACTGCTACTGATAGATTGGACTGTAGCCTTTTAGCATTTGGGGTATCTGTGCTCAAGATTTTGCATTCCTTTTTGTATGTAGGTACCGTTTGGATTAAATCTATTTCTGCAAAGGGTGTGATGTTGTTGCTGATCTGTATAATATTTTTTCTCTTTTAGTGATGATGCAAGAATCTAAACTTACTTCTTTCCAGCAACGCCATCTTGTAAATTGCATGAAACGTAAGTATGCCTAAAATTCAGATTTCTAAATTTAATTCAGACATGCGACTTTCTCCAGCTAAAGAGACAAACCATCCCCTTGCAAAGGAAATTTATATAAACTCAGGAAGACAATAAAACATTAGTGTAAAACTGTAAATCACAGATGATGAATACTTCTTAATAAACTCTAGTTTATCCAACTCAGTCTAGGACAATAAATCTTATGTAAAAGTGAGATTTTCAACATGTACTATAAAGATAGGTTGAGGGACTATTTTTAAACAATTCTGAATTCATATTAAAACATGAGTAATTCCTATTATATATTTTCTTGTATGCATTTATAAGCAAGTCAGTTTACAGAATCCCTCCTAAAATATTAAATTGGAACACATATTTATACCTAGCAATTTAACCTTGGGGTCAAATCTAGACACTGCCAAGAATACTACTGGAGGTTTCTAAAAAGCTGCCAGAGACTGAGCTTGGGTGAAAGGAGACTCTTGCCATGTATACTTAAAATGGTACATGCATGCCATTGCTTTACATTTAATTCCTTTTTGACCAATCTCTGCCCTTCTTTCTTAGGTGGTGATGCTTTCCCCGTACACTGTTATCCAACATCCAGCAGAGAACCAGAGTTTCCGAAGCCTGTGTCATCAAAGATCATTTTGACCACCAGTCTCTGTGGTAGACCTCACCTGCGGCCTGCAGAAATCTGTCGGGCAGGAAGTGCATATACCAGAGAAAAATTCAAACCTCAAGCCACTCGTAAGCAAGAAACATTTGCAAATGATAAATGCATCAGTGGTGGTATTCTACCGGTTCGGCCTGGTTCTGCCGAGGCGGTAGCGGCGATGAGCAGCGGAGACCGAACCAGTTCTCTCTGACGCTTTGCTGTTGGGCCCACCCGTCCGGGCTCCCATACTAACCTTTATGTCCTGCTTTTGAAGCGCAGCTACTTTGCGCGGCAAATCGATTGCTGTGCAGCAGTTGCTGAAGCGACAGGGGGAGTGCAGGATTGCAGGAGGCGAGTTGGAAAGCCTCTGTGCCTGCACAAAGTGCGCGTTTGGCACACACGCATGCATGCAAAGTGTATACACACAAAGCGCACCCACCAAGCCATGCCAACCGAACTGGTTGCAAAAATTTTTGAAACGCACCACTGATACTCATCATAATTTACAAGTAATCTTTGTTCAGCTACTGTACTATGTGGGTAGCAACCACCTGTAGTTACAACAGTGATGAAAATGTAACTTTGCAACCAGTGACCACATTTATGGCCTCCAAAGCTTCTCTAGGTCAGTGTTCACCATTAAACACAATGTGTTGTCTATTGCCTGGCCTGCTTTTTTTTCCTCTACCTCCTTCACAGTGCACAGAAGGATTGTCTAAACAAGCTATCTCTTCCTGAGCTGCTTCTCTCTCTTCAGTGCAGCACTGAAAAGTGCTAACCACAATTTAACCACTCTTGTGATTTTAATTACTTGATTAGAATCCTGGACCTGCACAGTTGCTGCCTGAAATTGACAAGACTATAATCAATGTCTCTACTCAAGGCTTTTTTTGTTCCCTAAGTGGCTCAGCACTCCTAAGGGTGCTAAGCAAATAGCAGGGAATGTGTATTCCACATTGTATGCCTGCTTACTTCTTATAATCTCTTCTTCTCCAAAGATGAATTATCTAATTCCCTTACTAATTATCCCAGTACTTGAGTGAGCTTCCAAAATGGTAAAAAGGAGCCATAAGATTTGCCCTTTTACTTGGCTTCCTTGTAAATCGTTCCAGAAAACATCCCTGCTGTTTGAAATCACCCAACTGTTTGGGGTCATATCCTTTTGATGCTGTAAAGTAAAGGAAAACTAATATAAATTTGTAAGCAGTCACATAATTTTTCACTTAGCTACCACTTTGCTTAATGACTGAGTTGGTCCCAGTTGCAATAGTTAAATGAGGACTACCTGCTGAAAGGATGAATATAGGTGATCTGTCAGATTAGTGCAACTCTTCAAAGAGAAATGTCTGAGAAAGAGAAAATGATAACCAAGGGAAATACTATCTCTAGAATTCTCTCCACTTAGCAGTCTCAACTGCTGCCATTTGAGTTTCAGAGTTCATTTGTAATTATTTGCTTAGACATTTTAAAATTGTCTTCTTTTGAGCATAAAAGAATGACAGTAAGTTATCCCCTCCAGGAATTCTGATCAATATTTTTATACAGTAATAATATTTCTTTTATATCTATAGGAGACATAGAGAAGGAGAAAGAAAGACTGCAAAACATCTTAGCAACAGGAAAGGACAAAGTAGAGAAGAAAACTCAGAAGAAACCAGTCAAGGTAGAAGAAACAGTACCAGAGGTGGACCGATTCGATGAATGTAAGTGGACCCCCTTAGCTAAAAGCAGTGACCTGATACACTCTGGCAGGGTACATACAATATATTAGCCTAAGATAAAAGGGTTGTTGTCATTCAGGAACTCAGACATTTACACCCACCTACACCTCTGGAATAAAAATATAATACAAAGAATTGCAAATAGAAGGACTGTAGCAAAAGAAAGCAAATACCAATAGTGATAGGCATATTATGTGCAATCCTAAAACAACTGGATCACCACCTGAATACCATTAGCATTGACAAAATCCCCATCAGTCAATTGAAAAAGGCAGCTTTACTTGGAACAGCTTACAACCTGCAATAATACCTTTACTGCCATCAAAAATTTGCCTATAACAGGTCCTTGGGAAGATTCTGTAGGTTGACCAAAATACCAAATCCAATGTAAACTGTGTGATGATCCCTAATAGTGTTTAGGATTAATTTGTAATGCTAATCCACTTACTGAGTTGGCATCATACATAGAACCAGAAAGCTAAGCTAAGATGCTATGTTCATACAGTATGCTATCACAAAAAACTAAGGTTAACTCTAACCAAATTAATGTTAGATTCATACCAACTAGGATGTGTGAGTGTAGCTTCTAAGAATTGACCTGATCTGATTAAATCATGTTCTATGAATACTGGCTGTTTGTAGCTAGTAGAGACTGGAATCAGCTACTCCTTCCTGCTTGTATCTTTAGAGTCTGAGCACTGTCAAATCAGTGACTTACATGCTAAGTTGTCTTTGCAAAAGATTGCTCATACTTCCAGGATGAAGCACAGCAACACTACTCTTATCCCACTAATGCAGTACAGCAGGATCATTACTTTGGCACAGTGTTATATATTTTCAACCGGGATGACACCAAACCATTTGATACAACAGTGTATCAGGTTAACAATAAACATAAGAGATTTCTATAGGTCAGTTTCAGCAGAGCATATGCAAGGCAAAGCTAACCAAGAGCAGGGTAGTCATACAATAGACTTTTAAGATGTCCCCCCCCGCCCATAATAACAGCCACTATAGTTTATAAACCATGATTTATAAACCATGATTATGGCTCAATGTTGGGCAAAATTTAATTCAATAAATCATAATTCATCATATCATAGTGTGCATAGTCAGTCTGTCTATCTTATCAAGAAATGGAGTTAAAGTTATTTATACCTAGCTTAAAACAAAGTCCCTATTGCAAAGTTTGTCTACTGTCCCAAATATTGCTTGCTTTTGTTCCTCAGAATTAGTATTCAGTGGCATGGATCTTGTGGATGTTCTGGATCAACCAAACTTATGGACATTATTACTATGTTCTATGAAAGACTTCCTTTTTGTATATGAGAATCTTATTAAACCTATAGTCATGTGAAAAAGAAAGTTCACTTTGAGTTCTATGAACATCAGAACATAATAAAAAAAAATCTGGTCCTTAGCTGTTCTTAAAAATAGGTAAATACAATCACAAATGAACACCACCACATGACATGTTACGCCATGTCATCATTTATTTTACAGAAAAGAAAGCCAAAATGGAGAAGCCATGTGCGAAAAACTTACACTTTATGATTCAATAGCTTAACGAACCACCTTTAGCAGCAATAACTTGAAGTAACGGTTTTCTTTATCAGTCTCATTGTGGAGGAATTTTGGCCCACTCTTCTTTACAATATTGCTTCAGTTCATTGAGGTTTCTGGGCATTTTGTTTATGCACAGCTCTCTTGAGGTCCCACCACAGCATTTCAATCTGATTGAGAGCTGGACTTTGACTGGGCCATTGCAACACCTTGATTCTTTTAATTTTTCAGCCCTTCTGTTGTAGATGTGCTGGTGTACTTAGGATCATTGTCCTGTTGCAATGTCAGCCAAACTTTAGCTGTTAGACAGGTGGCCTCACATTTGACACTAGAATACCTTGATATACAGAGTTCACGGTCGACTGAATGACTGCAAAGTGCCTAGGTCATGTGGTTGCAAAACAAACCCAAATGACTACCACACCCTCACCATGCTTGACGGTTGGCATGAGATGGTTGTACTGATATGCTGTATTTGGTAATCACCAAACATGGCACTGTGCATTATGGCCAAACACCTTCACTTTGTTCTTATCTGTCCAAATGACAATGTTCTACAACATAGGTGTCAAACTCAATCACATCACGGGCCAGTTCACAACATATCATGATATTTTTTGTCTTTGCGGAGCTGGGCTGGGTGTGGTCTGTGCATGATGTACCTACCCAGCCTGCAGGCTGCCAGTTTGATAGGCCTGTTCTAGAAGTTTTGTGATTTATTCAGATGTAACTTTGCAAACCTAAACCATGTTGCCATGGTTTTTTTTTTAAGAAGAGGCTTTCTCCTAGCAACTCTTCCAAAAAAATCATACTTCTGTTTTTTTTCTAATTGTACTGTCATGCACTTCAACTTTTAACATGCTGTCTGAGGCCTTGTAGAGTCTGCGATGTAACTCTTGGGATTTTTTGCAATTTCTCTGAGCATTGCACGGTCTGACCTTGGGGTGAATTTGCTGGGACATCCACTCCTGGGAAAATTGGCAACTGTCTTGAATGTTTTCCATTGTGAATACTCTTCTCAAGAATAATGGACTTTAAATTGTTTGGAAATGGCCTTATAATCCTTTCTAGACTAATGGGCAGCAACAATTGCGTCTCTAAGACCACTGTTGATATCTTTCCTCTTTGGCATTGTGTTAAAACACACCATAGTGCTGGAGACCAGCAAACTCCTAAAACTCTGGCTTTTATAGGGATAGTCACACTTGCCGGGTCAATTGATCAAGGGCACTTGATTAGCAGCACCTGGCTGCTACTTAGCATCTTCATCTCTCTGAAAGTATTAAGGGTGAACGTAACTGCTCCATTTTGGCTTTCTTTTTGTAAAATAAATGGTGACATAGTGTAATACGTTGTGTTGTTGTTGTTCATCTGAGGTTGTATTTATCTACTTTTAAAAACTAAGGACCAAATGATTTTTACTGTTGATACATAAAACCATAAAAAGAGGATGTTCTTTCTTTCTCACATGATTGTATAACAGGCATGATATTCCCCTCTGAAAAAAAAATCGGGGCCGGCCAAGAGACCCCCCCACCGCGCGCCAAGAAATCGCTGCCCAGCTCCCTTTTCCTGCCGCTCAGCGGCCTCCGCTCGCACCGCCTAGGCTCCGCTCGCACCGCCCGCCCGCCCGCCTGGGCTCTGCTCAGGTATCCGGCTGGGGCTGTCAGGAGTTGCTACCGCCGGCGCGGCTCCGCGCGGCTCCAGTCCCGCGTTGCCTCCGGAAGGGAAAGGCAAAACCAGGAGCCGCTGCTGCCGTTGCAAAGCGCCGCCGCGGCTCTTCCTTTTTGCCTTTCCCTTCCTGAGGCAATGCGGGATTGGAGCCACGCAGAGCCGCGCCAGCGGTAGCAACTCCTGACTCGGGGCCTCCGAGGGGAGGGGAAGGAGGAGAAGAAGGGGGGGGGAAAGGGGGGAGCGATTCCCAAAAAAATCGGAATTCCGATTTTAATCGGAAGAATATCATGTCTGTATAACCAGTGGTGCAATTCAACCTGTGTAACAACTGGTTTGGTGAGCGTGCGTGTGCACCAAACACACACTTTGCGCATATGCGCTGCATTTTAAAAAGCCCATTTTCAACTCAATTACTTGCCTTCTGCTGCATCCCCGGTAAGTAAAACAGCTGATGCGCAGCAAACTGCTCTGCCGTGTGAATCAGCTATGCTAAAAACCAGGAAATAAAGCATAGGAAAGAGCAGGGACAAGTGGGCAGGGCCACATGCTCACCTGAAGTACCGGTTTGCCCAAACCAGTCAGAACCGGTAGAATCTCACCTGCATATAACATATTACATCTATTTTCCCCCAAAGGAAGCAACAGGTTTAATTAACAGGTTTAAGAAGCATACAGGGAATTAATGTAATATATGTTCCAATATTGTTGTTTTCAAGTTGCTGTTGTTGTGAGGCTCCCAGAATTATGGCCCATAAGATGGGCTGCTACAGAAGTCTTTTAAATAAAGTAAATAGGAAATTAATGATTCAAACTTCAGAAGAACAACTATATTCCTGCCCTTTAGTCTTTCATTCCACATTGCTTCTTTTGTCTTTATGCTTAGTGGTGAACGAAATTCAAGACCGACAAAATTTCCTGTCAGAAATGAAAGCTTTGGGACAGAGCAAAGCGTATGAAGGAATTATCCAAACTGAAATATCACAGGTACCTGGTAATTCTGACCTTTATAGGCTTAAATGCAATCTTTTTTTCAATATGAAAATTGGATATGATTATGATTTTTTGAGAAAGTAGGAAAAGACTTGGTTGAAGGGCACGTATGCATCTAAACTGAAAAAGAACCTTTAAAAAGTTATACAGGAGATGGCAATACATCTTCATCTGGAGTAAGATTTGTGTATTATCTTGTAAGAAAATTAAAATTCATTGAATTCTTACTATGTCTTCTTTCTCTGCTGTTTGCAGAAGCTCCGGGAGATGGAGATGATTGACAAGCAGAGAACTGCAGAACTGAAAGGGGCAATAGCCAAGTCTTTCAATATAAGCATCAAACATGACAATCGAAGCACAGGTCAAGTAGACCAATAGTTCTCCCCCCCCCCCCCCACACACACACCCAAGGATGTAACTCTTCACCCTTACTTTTTCTGCTGGCATAACCAAATGTGAAGAATATCTTATCAGTACAGTTTTGACCCTCTTGTGGCAGGTATCTGTTAGAATATATTTAATCTCCCAGGAATTCTGTATGAATCCTGAAAAATAGGAACAATCTGTTTCAATATGGAATGGCAGGAAGCCTTTCCAAAAATGTGATCCAGAAACAAAAGAGTTCAAATGAATCGCTGGCCTTACAATGAATATTAGCTTGCTTGCCTTGACAAAAAAGAGGAAAGGATTTCCACATATTTCATCTCTGGAAAACAGCATCTGTGTTTCTACCATTTATTAGAATTAGAACAGTACAACTCTTAGAATAGATCAAAAATACTTCATATATTATTCTGCCATCCACGAGACTGCTTCCAGTCAAAACTGCTGTTTTTCACTTACCATATAAATTTTAAGCAAACAGTGGTGACTATTGTATCGGACTATAAAAGAGAGAATTAGAAGATTTTAGATGGCAGTTATTTTTGATGAATGCTTCTTCAGTAAAATTACAGACCTAGGACCATCTTCATTATGACTAAGTGACTATTCAGATGTCTGTCACTTGTTAAAAGAAAGACTTAATATCACAACAATAAATGGAGTATGGGATGTTTTTTTCTCATTGGTGGACTTTTTGCTTTGGTCCAGGTCACTTTTGATAGCTGTATAATATTCTACTTGTAAAAAATAAATAGAAGTCCTGAGAATTTTGTGATTTTCTACTTTCCATTCCCTATAACATAATGCTTTGTGTCCACTTCCTGCCAAGACATCTCTAGAAACAAACACAACAGATACAAAATATAGTGGTTTTATCAGTTTTATTATTGATTTCATCTGTGCCCATCAGTGGAGATTGCAGTTACCACAGGGTAATTATGTTCACCAGAATCTGATAATTTCTGATGGGACTGTATCTGAGGTCATTTTAAAAGATTGACTTGTTTTGCTTTATAAAAGAGCGAGCTGTGCATTGGACAATCTTGTAACTGAGAGCAAGAAACAGATGATGGCTACTGTCTACTTGTAGAGCAGGGATATCAAACCTCTTGTCACACTGTTGTCATGTGGTGTATT